CAAAGCAAAATCTGAGCCAGATTTTCAACAACCCCAGCTCAGAAGGCAGCGCTGGATTTTTGAAGTCTTTGATGAACAATCTGGCCATCAACATTGCCTCAGTGATCTGCTGTTGCTGGGCTCCACTGAACAACAATCTCTGCTTTGTTCCCTCCCTTACCTCTTTTAACATTTTCTCTCCTATGCTTTTTACCCAACAATAGTTACTTGTTTGACCTTCAAGGAACTATCGTCATTCTAATGATGAGGTCTGAGGATTTCCAGCCCATATTCAATTCACTTTTTCCCTAAAACTGGGAATTTTTTTCTCTCTTACCAGACTGTATTATTCCTCCAAGTTCCCCAACAGTTTCACTCTTGAAAATTAGTAATCCTGTAATTCTGGTTTTGCAATCCTAAATTAAAGTACTTCATTCCTTTGTTATGGAGGATTTTGCACCATATAAGGAGTAAAAATATGAAGAAAATAACAATAACCACCAAAGTGATCCTCCAATGTGAAATCTCAACCCCCTTAAAAAATAGCATGGATGAGGTACGGGGACTGTGCTTGGAGCTCCAGTTTTGCACTTTGGAGAGAGAAAGAGGGCAGAAAACTCTCTGCTACTTTACTGTGGCTGCTGACCCTTTTCTTCCAAAAACTCCCTGGAGCCATTTCAGGAGTTACTCACCTATATGTACTTAGTTGTCTGATCACTACCCCAGAGCTATTTAGAGGTGAAATGTGTTTCTCACACAGATCTCAAGTCAGCAAATAAGAGTGCTCTTCAGCCGAGTCATTTCTGCTAGCTTTGCATTAAGCACCATGGCCGGAGGTGATGCACTGCAGAATTTAGGCCAAGTAGGAGAGCAAAAGCTCAGCATCACTCAACAGCAAACTCTCTGCCATCGGGTCAAAATAGCAGGCAGAGTTCAAATGACAGCATGTCATAGTTCACGCAAGAGGATCTGGCTCTCCTTATAGCCAGAGCCTCGGAAGCAGGAGTGTCTCCACTGACAGGAGGCTGACCTGAAGTGGTACTCACACAACCTGATGGGATACCCACACATGAGCATAGCACGGCAGGGAGAGGACAGGCAAGACAAACTATTCTTAAAACCACACTGTACATCCCAAAATTGCAACTTGCATAATGCAAACTGCTAATTTTATGCAGAAAACTGGAGGGAGGAATACAAAAGAATTAATACCAAGATAAAATGCATTAAATTAAACCGCCCAGGACAGAGAGAATAGAAAAGGTGGATATTCAAGAGACTCTATGGTCTCATTCCAAAACATATTTTCTTTTTCTCATCTGAATATGTAATAAAAAATGTGTACAAAATCACTCCGAGGCCTGCCTCAGGGTGTCTGTCTGCTCAGAGGCCCACAGCCCTGATGCTGCAAAGGGGCAGTACAAGGGGATCACAAAGTGTTCCCTGCAACAACCAGCTCCATTTTCAAACCTGTTTGACTGCAATTCCTAAAATTAATAATCTCAGCCCACCCTTTGAAAAAATTACTAAGCTACCCTACAGATAGGCCCCACCTGAAAAAAATGGTCCAGCTCTAAAGTCCTCACCCTTCTAAAATTCAGATCCAGGATTCTGTTCAGACATATTCTAGAAATATGGTAGTGCCAGTAATAAAGCTGCAACACTGGCTTTCCAAATATCTCTCCCCAAACCTTGGGGGCAACTTGAAGCAAAAATCCAAGCTCATTTGAAAATTGCAGGAAGACTACAAAGATTTCAAAGCTGTGCACAATCCAGCAGCAAGCACAGCCAAGCTACCACCCAACAAAGCAGCCTCCAAAACACCCTGCACATTCAAAGGGCTTGTAGGTTTTGCTTGAGTTGGACATCTTCCTAACACTCCTCAGTGAGACCGGGGAACAGCAGCACTGAAGCACAACAGGAAAATACAGGCACAAGGCAAGGTCCCTGCAGTGAAGTCCAGCCTGTAAATTTGGGCAGCTGACATTACAGATGTCTTCCTGTTGCCCTGTTGCTAAGACTGACTGTTCTGAAAAGACAAATTGAGACAGATCAGTGGGCACACACAAAACCCTGCCCAGACACCTAGAAATATATTGGGTCAACGAACTACATCAAGACATGGGGCTGGTCAGCATTTAAGAGATTAAATTGGTGACATGTCAATAAACAAACAGTAAAGGAGACAGCAGAAATCCTTTTCACTTTCCATCTCTTCTCTTTGCTGCTGCTGCTTTTTCCTCTGCCCCATTTCTGAGCCACAGTACCAAGCCTCAAGGTTTTAAAGCACCACAACAGCAAGGATCACTGGAGAGGATCAATGCTAGGATAAATTTTCTCTCAATATACGATTGCTTGTTCCAGGGAGAAGGCAAGGTGAAGGCAAGAGCTCTATGTCAGCAATCATGAACCCACATCAGCCCCCAGGGTGTAAAATGCTGCAAAGTTTCCTGATAACATAGGGCAGAGCCAAAGAAAACAAACAATGTTGTGGTATCCCTGCCTGGGAGGCACAAATTCTCCATCACCTCCAAGCTTCCTGAGCCCCCATCAAATGATTACATTATAAAAACTGCTGAAAACAGAGCTTTTCAGGGAGGCCAGTCAAGAAGTCACAGCACGACAAAAAAGTAAGCAGGGGGTGCTGTAGGGGCGGGAGCCCTTCTTCCTATGGTGGCTGTATATCGGCATGTATTAAACATAGACACAACAATAAGCAATAAATCACAGCCCAGGAGAAGTGCCAGGTGGAATGCACTGGAGGAAATTAAAACATCCTTCTCGATAACAGTTCAGAATTGAAAGAAATACAAAGGAGACCAAGTTGACTTATCACCTACATAGGCAGGATGCTAAGGGGAAAAATGGTTCCAACATTTGCAGCTGAAAAATTTGCAGTTGAATAATTCCCTACCAAAAAACCCCCAACCTTAGCTTAAAAAGTAGTAATAATATCACAAACATCCTTTTAAACAAATAAATACATAATGGTCTTTCTTGGCTTTCCTAAGTTTTCTTCTTTTTTCCCTCCTTTTTTCAAATGAACAGTCTCTCTCCAAGACTCAGCCATGGGGCAAAGGATCCATTGCAATGTACCCATGTACACTAGCCGGCCAGCACCCGAATTCAGCAAATTCTGATCTCCCACATCATCAAATGTATGCAACCACCATGCTGTCAGGAGACTCTATCTTGTGTACTTTGGTATTGCCCAGTGACTAGCTTAAATTGCCTAAAAGTATCATGAAACTTGTCAATGGAAGCGGAGTTTGAGTTTCCATCCCCTAAAGAGCTGAACTGCTTCCTTATTTCACTGAAAAATGTCTCTAGAAAGTTTATTTTAAAGAAAAACCAGCATTGGTATACAAGTTTTCCAGTAATTTCAGCCAAGACGCAGTGCTGCACAATGCTGAGGCTGCTTGTGGCCACCAGCAGGCAAGGGAACCTTGTTGGAGTTTTCGTTTACTGCCCTGCAGCTCTCAGGTCCTGAGTAGATGGTGCTCCTGTAAGGTATCCCCACTAGTCTGCCCTCCAGCCACTGCTGCTTTTTCCCTGCTTCTCCCCTTTTTAGACAGCTGAGCAAACCTCCACCATTTGAGTTTTAATGGAAGTGTCATATAAAGTACTTATGCAGGCTGAAACTGGGACACCATCTATAAATTACCGGAAAGCTGAACTCAAGCTTAGGAAAAGAAAGAAAAGGAAAAATTCATTTCTCTCAAAAATGGATCATATATATATGTACACACACATAAATATTCTCAAACTGAAACTCTCCAGGACAGCCTGAAGAGGACAGCTGTTATGTTCCACCTTTTTAAACCTCTACTTTTAAGGGCTGAGGACAGGATGGCATTTTCCAGCTGTGGTTCTTTCTCTTACTAAACACTTTTGTGTCAGCCTGTCTGTATAAGCAACTAAACCTTTACACATTAGACACTTCTGTGTCAAACTTGCAGTAATGACCAAGTTATACTATCTGAAAGAGATAATTAAGACGTTCAGTGAAAATAGAAAGAGCTGGCATTTTTGTATTTAGACAGACATAAATTTAGAACAAGCTGATAGATAAACTCTACTTGTTAAAAACAAAATGATGGTGACATTTTCTATATCAGTTTTTTTCTGGCAAGAGAACAGAGACATCTTGCAGTAGGCCATGAAAGAGGGAATCCATTTAGACGTCGCTAACAAAATCCTTCCTCTTGTCTAGCACAGAGGACATCAGCTTCAGACAAAAGTCTCATCGAGGAAAGCAAGGCAGAAACAAGAAAGGAGAAGGAAGAGTATTTTCAAGAGATGTCAACAAGCAATTACCCACAGCAGACCACACTACACACTCAGGGAGATTATTTGAGCATATGTCTCAACCATACTCTTTCACCTGCCTAAATGGAGGAATACCATTTGGATGCAAAAACCTTCGACATACATTTCTGTGTGGAAAACTGCCCTGGAACCAGGGCTGACAATTAAAAAGAAGTCTTTTTCCTACTCCCTATAAAAGGTACAATCAAGGCACAGAATCTATCCAGGTGTAAGAGGTGTCACACATAGTTGAGATGAGCTATTGGTTTCCAAGAGCAATAACAAGTTGCTGCCCAGTCCTGCCTCATCAGACATTTGAGAGGTGAGCACTCGGATAAGCCAGGATAGCCTGGCTGGAACCCAAATTCAGAAACCTGCAGCCATACTGCTGGTAAGAACCCCTAGCACCACTGAAATATCAAGTTAAAAAAACCCCCCAAAAGTAGTAAATATTGCAAGCCCTTCCTTGGTAAACACACAATTAATTTCTGATGAGGACTAATTAATATTTACCAAAACAAATATTGCTCATTCTCATTGCTTCTATATCTATCTACTGCTATGTATCTATCAGGAGAAGCACTTTCAACAGTGTCTTTTGTCTTGTAGTGATGAAAAAAAGCCTCCTAAACTGAATCAGATTGGAATATGTTTCCCTGGTGCTTTTCTTTTTAACCTGAAGTGGAATATATCAGAGCTGTAAATTTGCTTACCCTTCTGTTCTGTACATGGAGCATCTCTCCAGAGGAATTTTTAGCACTCCATTATTTAAGCCCACAAAGAGCGACCTGTTGCTGTGCAGGATTTGGAGACTCTTGATTGCTTCCCGTTGTCCGTCAGGAAGGATCTGCATTTCCTCTAAATAACAACTCCTCAGGCTCCTGTTAGTGGTAGAAAGGGCCTTCAAGATGGTGCCATACTCTAATAGAACAAGAAACAAGGCACAAATAAATCTGTGAGGCACTGACTTCATTTCACACCTGCCTAAAGAGTGAAATATTAATGTCATCTTTACGCAGCTGCTTTAAACCTAGTTCTGGGTCACCTGCTGCCTGTGGTAGAGAGCTCCAGCTACATCATTACAATCCTCAGCAATTCTTAGACGTTACAGAAACTGCCTGTGAATGCATTTCAATGGGAACCCAGAAGGATGAGAACCATCTGGAGAGTGAGTACCTGGAAATATTTCCCAGTTGGAGCATTGAAGCAAGAGAGAGTCTAGTCCTGTTACCAGTGAGTTATACAGCAAGGTGACCCAAGACAGCAGGGATCGTTTCCGGTGCCTCGAATCTATATTTCTTTTGGTTTATGGAGCAGATCAGTCTGATTTGATGCCATGACAAATGACAACAGATGCAGCAGCGCTCCTGGAAAGCTCACACGCCTCCATAATGACTGCATGGGTCATGGATCTAATTGATCCTCTTCCTGGAAGAAGCCATCCTGTCAGCTTGATAAGGGGATGTTATGGCATGAGCAGTGCACACACAGAAACATATATGTTCGTGTTCACAGTGCTGTTACCTAACCAATTTAAAGATCTGATAAATTGTGGTAGATTTATGCTGGGGAAAATTGGCCAACCACATTGTTTTTCATTAAAACCTCAAATCAGCCCTGATTGTTCCTGAAGTTTAATCTTTCTATCTCAACAACTTCTGTACTGGTGTCAAAGCTCAGCAGTTTACACTGGTGGGGCTGGCTGCTATGTGGAGCTTCTCTTTCACTTAGGAGGACCTTAAGCATGGAACAAGTCTGAAGCCCAAGTTTGGGCTCGGTTTGTCTCAGGACTGGATTTGTGCTCAGGACTGCCTCTGGGCAGGGCTGCCTCCACTGGAGCATCTGTCTGGTTTAAATGTGTCAGGTCCAGCAGAGCTTACTTTTCAGTCACTGCTGAAAAGGGTCAGAAAGCAAACACGAATAAGGAGGTAAGGTTAAGGCAGTGGCCTTTCTACACATAGGATATGAGTCAAAAAGTATCCCAGCTTTCTCTCAGGCTTTGTATCTGGGACTTGTCACTTAAAATATCAAGATATCAAAACGCTAGAAACATGTTGTATTTTCTTTTAAGTACAATCTTCTCATCATAACCAATGTCCATGGAGGCTCCCACAGTAGGAATGTTACTAGAACACATCCAAGATGATCACTTTTGAAGTAAGCGATGGTAAAAGTTAGATAAATTATGACACAGTCCTGGAAAGTGGTAACATGAGAATGAGGCAATGACTCTGCATTCCAATGTGAGATTAAACTAACACTTACGGAGGCAATCCATCTTATTCTAAAGTCAAAGCTTCTGCAATAGAGGGTAACAACATTATACCCATGAGGCTGGCCATATGCTCTGATTAATCAAACTATTTAATTTAACCTCTATCATTAGTATGAATATGGGCTAAGACAACCATTTATAACACTTTGTCCTTCTTCAGCATCTTTCATTTATCCAAGATATCTGTGCTTTTCGGAAGAGGCAATGTGTCCTGCTAATTAGAGGAAGGCAGTAGAAATCAAGAGACTAAATCATACACACTTAATTCTACTACTGGCTCATTATGCTACCACAAAAAAGCACTTGCCTCAGCTTCCCCATCTGCATTAGGTTTCAGTGCCTGCCCATTCCCGAAAGCACTAGGAGTCATACACCAGTAGGCACATGGAAGTGTAAAGAAAGAAATTATTACAACCTCGGGCAAGCCTGGAGTTTAAGCATTATTATTGCTTATTTAGAGATGAGTACGTCACAGTGCAGAGAGGCAACTTACGTGCACAAAATCACAGAGCATTTCAGTGATGTTTGCTCTTCCCCACTGTTATGTACTAGTCTGATTAATGGAAACGTTTTTATAAAAGGGAGAAAAATGTTATTGTTGCTTTTAAACACAATGTAGATTTATGGTCTGCTCACTTGGGACTCTGCCTCAAGTCCTCCATCCTACTTTTAATCTACTCAGGCAAACTAACTTCCATGCAGTTTTGTGCCAAAATGATACTGAATGACAATGGTATAATGGTGTCATGACCAGGCTACTAGGGCTGCTAAGTCTACAAGCAAGTGGAGGGAACATTCTTATACCCTGATGCTCTTACCTGTCCCAATATACATCACGTGGTAGAGAGTATCCTTCCCCTGAACAATATCAACCACCAGTTTGGAAAATCGAATGCTGTCCTGAGTCACGTACGGATCTACAGTCACCGGCTGCACGACATCATTCATCAGGAACAAGCGCTGCGCATCCTGCAGGACCCTCTCCGTCAGATTCTCATTAGGGCTGTCATCACTCAGTGTCCCACACTAAACACAGAAGATTGAACCTCAGCACTTGCATTTTCTCCCCACTCCAGCAGCCCAATACCAAACCCTGAAATTCTTCTGGAAACTCATATCCCACTGATTTCCTGCAGAAGTGGGTCTGGGTGAGGGTCACAGGATCAGGTCCCTTAGCCTGATCTTAGGTCTTTAGCTCAACTTTGGTCTGTAGCCTACTCTTTATAAATGTTTCTCACAGCTGGACCACTGACCAGTGATATGGTGTTTCATTCCCTTGTGATACCCTGGAGCCAGCACGCCACAAGGCCAAAAGGCATTAACAAACCAGGGAGGAAAAAAAAGAATTAAATCGAGCTGTAGATAGAGATAAAGCTAACAGTGGAAAGAAACTTTCTGCCATAACTCTTGAAGCATTTCAAATCATCTTCAGACTCTACCTGGCATCTCACTCTGTACAATGGACAAAACCTGGAGGTTAAACAACCTGAAAAATGGGTTGGTTTTCCATAGAAGAACCCAACTCACACACTGCTTTTCTCTGATGTGCTCCCTTCTGAACAGACCGCTCCAGTGTCATCTGAAGCAATGCAGGTTAGCCACCAGCTCCCCGCTCCCCACATGCAGCTCTTCTTTCCTCACAGATCAACCTGTGTCCACCCACCCTCTAGCACCAAGGGGTGCACTGAAATAGGACTCAGTGCCCTTGTCGATCCAAAACAGTAGGGAAGAAGAGAGCATGTCTTGTGTTGCATTTCAAGGCCTGAGTTTCAATCACTAATCTCTAGAATTCAGTATTTTCAAAAGTCAATGAAAGATTATACTCTCCATGCAGTGGTGGAGCCACCTCAGTAGCCAGGGCTGGATTTTCACTCTTCCCCACAATGCCATGCATGGCGGGCAGAAGCTTTATTTACCCTGCCCAAGGCCATGGGAGTCAGTGGTACAACTAGAAATCCTGACAACTCCCATACTTAGTCCGTGGACAACTTCACTTCTCACTAAGTGATGCTCACATCTGAGTAATTTCACTGTAAAAAAAACCTCACAAATTAATTTTTCTTCATTTTCCAGGTCCAGGTGTTCAGGCTTTCCTTGGAAGATAATTTAATATACTGCGAATTAGGATGTGGATTTACAGCACTCCAGCTACAGTGTACAAATTTCCCATGTGCATACTCTCGATATGCATCAAAGCAACTCTTTGCAGTGTGGCTGCCTTTCTGAGGTGCACCATGCAGAGCTTCTCTTACAATGTGCTAAAATGAGTTGACAGGAATTTAGCTCACATTTACACAATACATATGGATCCTAACGGCTGGTGTAGCTAAGCTTGACAGTATTTTGGAGCTTGTGTGAAGTAGGTGAACAGGGTAATACTAATTTCCACCACCTATGAACATGGTCACTTTCTTATCAACTTAAGCATCTGAGCTGGTTTCAGTGCAAGACAGACGTCTTTCCAAGACACAATAGCTCAGCTAAAAGTTATGGATACTTTGGAGCAGTAAGTGGTGGAAGAGGATACATGAGGATGGTCACAGTGGTTCCTCTCATCTTAAAAAAAATCTCTTTTTTTATGAATAAGCAGTTTTCCAGGATCATGAGTTAAGGCAAATTTGAAAATTATGGAACAACTTCAGTCATTTTATGCTCAGATTCGGTAAGTGCAGTGCAGAATATGTGTATGACAGTCCCAGCAAACCTGAGTAGTCAGACTAAGGAAACATCAGTGGGTTTTTGATGTATCCTCAGGTGGTTTTAATGTTTTTGGTTTTGTTTTTGTTTTTGTTTTTTTCTATTGCAATGGTCTTTTTTATTTCATGACTCATCTCACATTTTAAAGAGTTCTTAGATCTCTCTTTTCTGCTGTCTCCTATACTCCTTCTGGTTTACATCACTGTCTTGCTTTGGATGCTTTTCTCCTTGCTCACTTTTCTTTCTAGAGCATCACTGAAGGAGGAGTCCCAGTGGCAGGAATGTCATTGTTGGTTTTGTTTTCTGTTCTCATCAAGTCACAGATAATCCTTTTGGTCTACTGGCAGCCCGTGTGCTGACACAGCATCTCTCTGGTTTGGTGTTATTTTGTTTTGTTCTAATTTCCTGATTATCTACACTGCCCTGATCCTCTATATCCTTCAGTATTTCTCCTTCCTCTCTGCAAGAAAAAAAAAATTCTGGCGTGCTTCCCTCATCTTCCTTTGTGAACACTGAGGCAAAAAAAATTAATCTAATTTTTTTGCAATATCTGCCTTTTCTGTCACTAAATTACCCTTGTCATCTCCTAGAGGCCCTTCACTGACCTCGTGTTCCTTCTGTACTTGAAAAACATCTTAATCTCTTCTTGCAATCTTCCTTTTGTCTGCCACATACCTCCTTTTCCTTTCCTTATTTTCCTCTGACCCTTTTCTTTCATCTTGCTTCTGCAATCTTTGCACTCCACATTTTATCTGATACTTTTCACTACATGGAAATGCTTTCCAAGTCCTTTTCTATTCCTCCTGCGTTAGCCCAGCAAGGGACAGAAAGTCCTTGATTGTCAGTTAACCTTAATATTCCCTTTAAACTAAAAAAGAAGAAAAAAAATATCCTGGCCACATTTGGCATAGCTGGGCCTTCAGTGAAGCTTTATTTCATGGTTTTGAGTGCATGAAGCTGAGGGGGTGATTGAGAGCCCAATCCTGTCCCACCCTGAACAGGCAGAAGCCCTCAGTCAGGTGCCATGAGGAAATTCAAGGGGAGAAATCAGGTACGTCCCTGCCTGCAGTGTGGACCTGCCTCCCATCTTCTCTTTCTGTGATTTCAGGCAACTGCAGAATCCTTTTTGGAAGGTCCCTGACATCACCAGCTTGAAGGCAGATGGCATTTACAGGCATCCTCGGCACCTTTGCCATAATAAAGGAGAGCCAGATTCACACAATTAGGCTGAAAGGATTCACCATAGGGAAGCAAAGACAAGAAGACAAGTCCATCCTTCGTAGTACTCCCCAGGTGGGAAGGGACTGAGTTATAAAATGGGTTCATGCTTCAGAAGACTTAGGTTTGCTGGGCCTGTCACACACATACTCTGCACTGCACTGACTGAATCTGGGCATAAAGTGACTGAAGTTGTTCTGTAATTTTCAAATTGACCTTAGCTCATAATCCTGGAAAACTGCTCATTCACAAAAAAAAAAGAATTTTTAAGATGAGAGGAACCACTGTGACCATCCTCATATGTCCTCTTCCACCAGTTACTGCTCCAGTGTGTCCATAACTTCTAGCTGAGCTACTATGTCTTGGAAAGACATCCGTCTTGCACTGAAACACTGGTAGCCTTAGGGGCCCTATCAAGTGATGGAAAATTCATCACATCCTTACACAGACCAAATGGTTAATTATCTCGCTTGTTTAAAAATATAGGTTGTCTCCATTCTAGTTTGACTTTTTCCAGCTTCAGCTTTCAATCCTTCCCAGTTTCGGTGGGGACATGTTTCCGTGTCCCCTTGTGAAGATCACATTCTCAGAGTTCACATGTCAGTGATGAGCATAACAGAGATTTAAATTATTCATTATTATAAAAAAATCTGAACATTCTTATCAGTTAAATCATTAAATTTTTGCCATGAATCTTGTGGTCTCAATAACATGTGGCAAGCAGTTCCACAGACTAAAACATTCATAAACATGAAGAAATATAATTTATCTGTGGGTCTACCTGGAAAAATGAGCCCCACACAAATCAGCCCACTGGAGTGACAGAGCTGGAGTAAACTGAGGAGTAGCAGCAGCAGTACCTGGAAATTAGGGATGGGGTTTAACGTTGGCAGCCAGGCTGATCTTGGGTTTTCTTGGTAGCGGAAAGGGCCATTAAATGCCTGAGTAATGGCACTCAGATTGAAGGCACACACTGCTGAGGCAGCTATGCTGTTTCTGGAAAAGGGGAGAAAAAAAAATCAATTTAATCATTAGAACATTGACATTATCATCATAACAGACATCAAACTCTACTCAAATAAAATACATGTAAATTGCTAGGTAGATGTACAGTGATACGAATCTCACAGGGAGTAAAAATAAATAATTAATTTCTAAAATGCAGATGGCTTACATGACAATTTAGAGAATGAATTTTAAGCTTGGTTTTAAATTGTCTATGATTTAAGGGCCACGGAAGCAGTTCTGACAAGAAAGGTGAATACAGTTTAATTTGCATGGATTATTTGTGTTTGGTTTTGTTTTTATTTTTTTAACAACCCATCTATCTTTATTGATTACAAACAACCTGATTTTTAATCTCTTGGTGTTTCTCAAGGTGAAATTCTGTTTCTACAGGCTCCTGAAATCTTTAGCTCTAAAGCACATCCCCATATATTTATATATTTTTACACATATATACGCACATATATTAGAAATGCACACATGCATGCACACACATGCAGGGGAAGGGAGAGGGTGACGGTGCAAACCAGGCTGGTTGTTACAGCAGCTCAGCATGCAAAAAGGTCTTGCTAATACATGAAAGTCTCTGTTTTCAATCATCACAGTTCACTTCTTTGTGTTCCCAGATGGGAACAGCATCTCTCTTGGGCAGGCTGTTCACCATGCACACACCGGGCAGGGCAGGCAAGGCTAGAGAAATGCCACTGTAGGAAAGAGTCTTTGGAAAGGAATTTGTCTTAGGGATGCCCCACTGCCCACTCAGACTTGCACGCAGACCAGCTGGCCTTCACTGCCCCATTTCAGCCATGGAGGACCTATTTCTGCAAGGCCCTGAGCAGGCTCAGCTCCTTTTGCCTCAAGAGGTTTGAATGGTGATGGTACCTCAGGAGGGCCAGCCCAAAGAGTGACATTTGCTTAAGTGGTGACCTGAAACTCAAACCTGCTCCCAGCTCTCCCTTTCCCCTCTGTTTTTTTGGGTTTTTTGGTTTTTGGGTTTTGGTTTTTTTTTCAAGGAAAAGAACAATGTTTAGAGAAAAAGACACCAGAATAAAACTAAAAATAGGGCTACCACAAGAGACTGACTCGTCACGGTGTTTTTTAAATAACCCAAGCCCTGCTGTATTATCTTTCTGCTAATTAAAGCAATTTGAATTCTCTGAAAAGAACACTTTTTTTTTTTTTTTTTTTTTTTAACTAAACCAATAATTACACTCTCTTGCACAAAAAAGAAACCTTGCTCCACAATCCCAGGATGGAAAGCAGAAGAACAGATTCTTTCACAGCGTACTTCTTCCAAGCAATACCACATCAGGAAGAACTTCCTGCTTTGCCTTCCCATTCTCCACTCCTGCCCCTGCCCCTTCCATCCCCAGAGTGATGGAGTAGCTCACTTTGAACATGTCAAAGCAACACTGGGTGAACCTTTCTCCACTTCTGTCTGAACACCAATGATGCAGTGCATGCTCACAGACCGTAGCTCTTAAGACAAAACTAATGATGGATGACAAGTGAATGCCTTGTGGCACACATGGAAAAAAAAGAGAATGAGAAAGAAAATGAAAAGGAAAAGAAATAATAAAACCCTGTTAGTCTAACAAAAACACTTTTTTATATATATAAAAAAGGATATTTTTAGGGCCCTGCTAAAGACTCCACAGTTTAGCCCTCTCCCTTTGCTAGAGAGGAGAAAGGAAAGAGGTTTTCCAGGAAATCTGTGGCCCCTTTTCCTTTCTGTCTGTGGCCTGGCATATTTCCCATCCCTCGCTATGAAAAGTTTGATCCCAGTCTCAAGCCAGTGACATCAACTTGTGCAGCTGGCCCCTGTGTTGTCCTGGTGTGAATTACAGTCTCCTTTATTCCCACCTCCTACTTCCTGTGATTAACCAGGCGGTTTAGAGAATGGGTTAAGTTCAAGGAGGTTTTAACATTGTCTCCATTACCCCCTAGAAAAATTTTAATAAAAACTTCTTAAATATTTCATCAGCCACTTCCCCAAAAAGCTCTCTTTCCCACTGATTCAGCTGGGTAGAGCATAACATGAAGCAATAAATCTACATGTGGGTGTTACCACAACCACTAATATCCCTTTGTTATATGACCCTAAATGCATTAAACATGAACCTTACAAAATAAAAATACCTTTAAACAAAACAAAAAAAATCATAGTTTTGTGGTACATTGGTATTCTATTATAAAGAAATCCAGACTGGAGCATGTATCAACCCTCTTTGGTATGCAGAGCTTATGCAGCATGATATAAGTCCCAGGGGAAGTTAAAAGAATAATTACCATTATTTCTCTAGTCGGATGACAAATTGGAACATTTTCTCTTTGAACTCTCAAAAGAACATCAAGTTGTAGACCCAAAATGCTACTTGATCTAACTTCAGCTATTATCAATAAGTCATTTCTTCAATTACACAACTGTTACACACTATATTGTCCTCCAAAGACACAAGTGAGAACACACCCCTGTAACGTATGAAGAGTGACTTAAGTGTAACCCAGAGGAGATGGGTAACACTCCTCATGTCTCATGTTAAACCTGGGAAACAGAAACAGCAGACAAGAACTCTTCCAACCAGAGGTAGCCTGTGTCTCCCCCCTTATATTCCAAAACCAATACCAATTTGATAAATGTAATAGTTATTAATGATTTTCCCATTTCCAACTTCTGTTCTTGGCTGGATGAATGGATAGATAAAACATTACGGACACAGAGGTCCTCTCTGATTGGGAAAAAAAAAAGTGTCATCTCAAATGCCCAAGACAGTAGCCAGGTTTCATTTTAATATTCAAGAAGTTTGGCTAACATGCTTTAATGTCTTTAGAGAACAACTCATGATCCTTTCAATCCCAGGACAGATTTTCCCCAAAGTCCACAGTCAAGGTGCAGTGCTCAATCATGTTTATTTCTTCTAGCAGCTTCTCCATTGGCTCACTTTTGGTTGACATTGGCAATGGTAGTGCAGAAACAAAACATGGATGAGGGTGGCCAAACACTTACGTACTTCCTGGCAGTTACAGAGCAGGAATAACATTCAGGAACTGTTGACTGTCATAGTGAAACTCCCATCAGTGCTTTAGTGCAAGAAGCTGGGGCTCATGCTTTGTGACTTCAAGGGCTGAAGTTCAAGCCCTGTCAGATCAGCAAGTGACACTCTAAAATAGGAAGGCTGGTATTTCAGTGGGGTTTCACTTTGGTTTGCTATGGTCTTCTTGGGACCAGACCCTTATTCATATTGAACAGTTCTCCACTGCACACAAAAACCCCAAAGAAGTTGGCTACTCAGCATGAGAAAGGCACTTTGATTGATTGTCATGTGGAGTAACTAACTCAGATTTTCATTCTCTAAGTTTACACATCAGGATAACACCCCCCTGGAGAGCATGTATTATTGAAACTCAATACCACACAGACTGGTTATAGCTTGAAACTTATCATTCTAGCCTTGGGCTTCAGAGAAAAAGTTATCTGACTTTTTCTGACTTTAAAATATACATTATGAGTTTTTAAATATATTTTTTAATTAACTCCTCTTCTCCTTTCTGCTTTCACAGCTACACTAAATCAATCCAATTACATGTTTTTTCAAGATCAAGCCAAGAAGAGGTGATTATGAAGTTTCAGAAATCATGCCTTCCCCTTGGAGTTCCACTGCTGCTTTTGATTTGTGGACCTGAAACAGTCTGTAGTGGAGATACAGTCCCTCTTGGAAATGTCAAATGCTGTGTCACCCACATGACCTTGCTTCTATAAAGTGTTGTTCAACAGTAATTTATATTGATTTCAGTCTAGGCTGTTGTGATCCATCTGCCTCATTCTCCTCCTTCCAGTCCTTCTCCACCAAGCATATGCACCTGTCCATCTCGTGGGCCAACCCCAGTGTTAACACAATTGTGTCAGATTGTCCAGGCAGTTAACCTGGCTGGAAATTAATTACATTTTTCTGTTGGGTCATTTTTAGACCAGCTGTGAACTACACAAGTAGCACCACTGCCACTACAAAAAGTCAGAAGTCTATCATAGCCCAGGTTTATGTCAAATTAAGTTACCCTAGAACTGCACAGTTACCTTTTATGGACTCCATGAATCTATGAACCATGGATTAAAAACATCATCCTAAAGGCTATGTTGCCATGACAGATAACACAGATCTATCTGTTCCTTCACGTTAACCAAAGGATCTTTCAAAAATGAGCCCTCAGACTGTCTAAGGAATCAGGATATTGTCTGTCTCAGACTGCTGGGGATAGAAGAAGGGCAGTAAAATCAGTACAACTTACACATTAGTAGTGAAGACACCATAGATCAGATCTTGCTCAGGAAGGTAGAAGGTGCTTTGCAATTCATTATAATAGAAAGGGATTTCTCCAGCACGGGAGCAATTCAGCCTGGCCTTCATGAAAGTTGTCCATGTGTCCTCCAGCAAAAATCTTCCTCCAATATCATTTTTGCAAACCCTTGCCACACGAGAATACACTGTTTTCCCACAGTCATGTTCTACTGCATTCTCACGGAAGAAGAAATAGGTGAACAAACCAATGTCGTAGGCAGCAATAAAGTTAGGCTCTGAAAAACAAAAATTTGAAGAGATTTATACAGGTCAGAAATCAATCCATCCTCACTGACTTGCTCAATGCATTGCACCGCCAGCTCCCTTCACGCAGGCTATCAAAGCTGGGACCACAGGGAGTTTGAAGTCAGCAGAAGACATAGAAACAGTAGATGGGAATAATGAATGATATATGGGGATACAGCTCTAGTTCCATTTTTCAGATCTTGGAAAGACCCCATTGTTTCCCCACTTTTCTCACAAAGCTGCTGCTGATTTCAGTGAAAGCAGAGTTCAGCACTCTGCATGTGCATGACTATTCTCTGTACTTATACTAATTTTACAACATAAAGCTTTCCCATTGGGTTCCTTCACCTATTTACTTCTGAAGTGCACCTTATGATGTGTTAAATATGCTGTGTGCATCCGCCCGATTCCCCAGACTGCTGCACTGAAACGTTCAACCTACTCTCCCAGTGCAATCACATCTGGCTTTTATCATGAAGCCTTTTCAGTTTCTAGGCACAAAAGACTATCTTATGTCCGTAAAACAAAACCATGCCACAGACTGACAGCATTGAAGCAAGTTCTCCTTAATTCTTTTTCTCCTAGAATTATTGTTATTATTTTCATAAGAATTGAAAAGAACCTGAAATTAGTTTTGTAGCGAATATTTTAATTGGGTATTTAACAAAGCTTTAAAGTGTACCGTCTTTTATCCCAACAGTTTCTTTGGCAAAGGGAAAAGATTGTCCAATTAATAATATTTGACTAAACAAAAAAACCCCTGTTGGTTTTATAGGGTGCTTTTACAATGTTCATTTCTGAGTAATGCTCAAAAGAAGAAGAAAAAAGGAAAGTACAGAATGGCTTTAATTCTGCAGCCCAGGAGTGAAGGGAGGGCACTACAAAGCATCTCCCGTCAAACTTTCTTCTTCAAACAAACAGTGAACCTTGAAGGGATTATAGTGATCACCAATATGACCTTCTGTCTAACACAAACCAGAGAATTTCACCCTCTAATTCCACCATTGGATCCTGTAACTAACAGGTGAATTAGACCACATCTTTCGAAGGAGTTCTGATCTTACTGGACAATGTCACATGGCTTTACATCCATCGCTTTCCTCAGTGACTTGTTCAAATGACTAAAGACTGTCCCAGCTGCAACCTGTACTTCTTTTTCCATTTGACATTATCTGGTTTCAGCTTCCAATCACAGGCTCTTGTCATGACTTGTCTGCTAGATCAAAGAACTTTATCCTGCCAGAAATCTTCTCTTGATGTAAGTACTTCCATATAATGAACAAAACACCTTTTATCTCCTTTTCAGAAAGATAAATAAATTGAGCTCCTTAAGGTTCTCACTGTGAGGCAAGCTTTCCAAGCTTCAAATCACTCCATGGCTCTTCTCTGAATCACCTTCAAGTTTTCTGTTTCTTGTTGAAAAGTGGCCAGAACAGGATGAAATTACTTCAATGTGACCAATGCTGCACAAGGTTATAAATCCAAGAGTCATATTAGTTTTTCCAATCACAGACTAGAAACTCAGTATATGCTCATCTTTCCTTAAACTCCTCTGTTCCAATGTGACTTCCTTCTGAATTCTTCATTCACGTGCAGACAAGAGGTATGTATTTCTAATGAATGTATATGGGTTATGCTGATGCTTGGTCCTAATTCATATTCTTGCCTGATGACATCCTTCTCCTAAAACTCCAATCTCCATACTGAATTCAATATGCCTGCAGAAGCCTAGTTCAGTCTCATTAAGCTCCAGAGAATGCATAGTCCCACTGCTTGTATCTTTTATTGAAAGGTCCTGAAATCCAATGGGAAGATTCTGAATATCTTGCCAACTAACCTGGGTGAAAGTAGAGAAGTGGAATATTGGGGGTCTCCATCACTACAGTCTGCTCAGACAAGATGTGCTTTGCCCCAGTCAGAAGGTGTGGACTCAGTGCAGGAATTACTGATTGAAATTCTATAGCTTGCTTGATGCAGGGTATTATCACACTGGGGTAACAGCTGCTTTTCGTAACTATAAATCCACAACAGCACAGGTTTACATGGAACATAACTCACTGTGAAATTTCTCATTTTCAGACTGATCTTGCACTGAAACCAACCATCTTCAGCTAAGTCAGTGGAAGTAGAGGGTGCTTAATGCTGTGCAGAGCTGTCAACAATATGATACTTTACATTTGTTTTGATCTTCAAATCTTTGAGTGGTTTTCTTGTTAAAAGGATGTATTTGGTCATCTCACAAAACAGAGACCCATATATATGTTAAGTAGCCTTTAAGACCCACTTCCCATATTCTAAATCAACTTCTCTGAAATACTTCCAGGCTATTTTTAACCATCTTCTATGCTGCCTTGATTATTGCACTGGAAGCCCTTCCCCATCGTAACTCTGGATCCCAATATGAAAACAGAGGAAAAGATTTACAAGCCTGCCAAGTTGAGTTTAATACACCACTTGCTCAGATATGACCCACATGACTTTACCATTGAGCCATTTGGAGTTGTATTGTGCTGTCCTAAGTGGGGGAACATTTCCAAGGCTGCGGTAAATAGCAGGATCCCGTCCAGAGAAATCAATTACAGTCGCAGCATAGAGTTCTCCTCGTGATGTAATCACAGCTGTCGAGTTATGCCGGGGGTCATACGGGCACCGAGCCACTCCATTAATTCTGTCAATGATTTTGCTAAGATTTCCTACCTGTATTTAAAAGGAGAGAGTAGAGAATTTAAAGAGCATTTGGCTTTCTTACTGGTATAGAGAATTCAGTTTGCTCACGACTACCTAGGGGCAAAGCCCTGATTTTAAAAAAACAGACAGCTATAAGAAATTAATGCCAGTGATGAACATAAATTGATCTTTACATCCATCGTTTGCCAGCATCAGAAGTTGTGTCTGAGTCTCATTGATCCTACTGCTTTGTAAGAAGGGCAATTCCCCTGCTGATAAAGCCTGTAGGCCCCAACCCACTCACTGTAACCAGATGCTCCTGCTGCTAGCACAGGTTTCTAATCTTCCATAGACACCTCCTGAGTGTATAATGGCACTAAAAAATAGAAAATTAAATATGAATCCCTTGAATCCAAAGAGAGTTTTGTCACTTATTTTAAGGAAACATCTAAGTATTCATCTCAGGAGGTGCTCACATCTGTCTATATTCCCCATTTTCAGCAGCATACCCAAGGTTTACATGAGCAGCACTGTCCGGCTCCAGCTCACCCTTTACACAAGTTTTCTGTTCCCCATCTGCAGGTATACCCACTGCCCCAAAGCAGCCCAAAGAACAAACTCAAAGCTATTTCAGATCAGCTACATTTGGAGCATATTCTCTGCAGCCACGATGCCCTGCCAAACAACTGCCCTTCCCCAGAGCACATATCCATCCCTCTCCATCACTGCAAAAGGGGCAAAACAGACCTGGCGACTGGAACACACCGGCGAAAAGGCATTGGTACCACAGGTAAAAACCTTCTTGCCGTAAACAATCAGCACGCGGACATAGTTCTGGCACTCTTCCTATAGGGACACAAGACAGAAACAAAGGATTTTTAAAAGGGAGACTGTGGGGTTATTTATTATATTAAAAAGAAAAAATTACCTGTATTGCAGCTGGAATACACCTTCCTTAGCTCTAACTCAGGCTGAGGTTTGTTGCATCAAACAGTGCACAGCTGTAGGGAGCTAGCTGTCTAAGTGAGCAGGCCCAATTTGCTGGTTATTTCTCTAATCATAGCCCTGCACAGTCCCTGGATAGGATGTTATTCATCAGGTTGACTCTGTATTAGCTACACAAGCACTTCTTTCTGCGCTCTGCTTAGACTGGAGGAGGAATCCTCTTTTTCATGATGGTACTTCTGACCTATTTTACCCAGTAATGCTGTAGATGCTGCAGTTTAGAAAACATTACCCAGACTCAAACTCCAGGGAAGGACAATGGGTCTGTCTGCACTGTAATTCACACCAATGCCAGCAGGAAAATAGTAGGAACTTCTCTTTAATAGGCCAGGCTGGTCAGGAGAATCTTGTGCTTGAACAGATTGTTACTTCCTGCCTCCCACAAGGATTGTGTGCTCAGGATTTTCCATGGTAGAAGGAGTTTCTCTTTCAGGCCAGGTCAGTGGAAACAGCAAATCTTCTCAACTGACCATTTGCTGGTACAAATAGGCAACTCCCTCCACGTACCAGTCCCCAGAGGTGTGGGGCTCCAGTCATCTCACACTGGGGTAGGGGTGGGAGCACAAGGCTGTACTTGGCTCCCCCCCCCAACAAAAAAAAACCCCAACAAAAAACCACCTTCATTTTTTTAGAAAGAGCCACAGTCTCTCTTTTTCCCCACAGCCTCACACCCCAGAGACCTGTGGACTGCAGATAAGGCTACCTGAGCATCTTCAGGGAGTTAAGCCATGGAAGATGAAAAGGTCACATAAGGCAGTGACTTTCTAACGTGACATATGGGGAATGGGAGGTGCAAGACTAGCGTGCAGCTCCCACAGGCAGTGCAAGAGGCTGGAGAGCCGCCTGCCCCAAGGTTCATCCAAACAGCCCCAATGAGAGATGTACTGTGAGCCTGGCACCAGCCTGCCTGCCCTGGGTGCTGGGCCACCTCGGAGGAAAGGGTATGAGCAATGGCTAATGACTGGCACTCACAGAGCTCCAAGCAAAGAATGTCACTTATATTCTACTGTAAACAGAAGAGGAAACTTGTTAAAAATTAACAACCTCATCTGGGTTATCCCGGCTGCTTTGCTTTCCTCCCTCCAATAGATCATAATTTGCCACTAAGCTGAGCCTACAGCTGCAGACACCACTTCTCCTTCTGTAAGCAGCAATCACTCTGTGAGCTTCCCTGTCTCACAGTGCTCCACGCTGTTGATCATTTCCCTGAAGACTTCATTTGCAAGATTCAGCAGTGTGAAAACACTCCCTATCATCTGGAAAGGAAGAGGCCTGCTTAGCTGGATTATGTGCTATCTCCTTTCATTTGCTGTATGGAAATCAACTCACTGAAGGATGGCGTTTAGCAAAAACCCACCAGCATTAACTACAGACAAGCAACTGCATGGGCATGACATGTAGGGCTTGCTTTTGAATGGAGAAGATCAGAGGGACTGCACTCCCGAGCCAGCCCAGGAGCACTCGCCCAGCCTGGGCAGAGGCTACAGAGTGCCATGGAGCAGGTGCTGCCAGTCTTGTGTCTCAGCAGGGGTATTGGGGATCAGCTACATAATGCCTGGCACCTGAAAATGAGAGCTTGAATTCATCGCTGGGTCGATTCAGCACTTCTTATTTCAGAAGCAGATCAGTCATGGTGACTGTGCATCAGTCTACCAAATAGTACCTTGAGAAGCACCGTCCCACCTGCTGTGTGTTGAGAATAGAGGTCTCATTGGTTCTTTTAATAAAATGAAGAGCTTGCCAGCCTCTTTGCCCTCTCCCATCTTTGTTACATGGTGCTGTGAACCCTGTTAGTTATTCCCTGCCCTGGAAATGTCTGCATTTCATGAATAGGTTAAGCAATTCCTCTTTCTGTAGAGCAGTTATTCAATTCCACGTAATATTAGGACCACTATCTATTTAACTGCAAAGCACTGGGAATTCTTGAGGGGAAACTATATATTTAAAAAAAGCTACGGGCTCCTCTCCCAACAGGTTCTGTTTTCAGAATATGACTGATATTGCATATAACAGGTCTGTAGCCAAATTTTACACAATAAGAGAGTACCCATCTGCTCCCTCTCTACTTCCACTTTTCTCTGCTTTGTGCAGAGTCTGAGCATAGCTTCTTACCCAAACCAGCTAATACCATATATGTTGCTGGACCCTTTCCTGCCCAGATACTTCAATATATTCCTAATTAAAACTCTGGCTTGTAGAAATCTAAAATCCTAATTTGCAGAATTCCTTTCTTTGCACAGAGCTATATTACAGATTAACAAAGTTTCATTTCAATAAAAATCTTCCCAGCTGAGAAGATAGCACACAAAAAAGAATCTATCTGTGAGGTCATGTGCTGGATGGTCTGGACTCTACTGGCAGTGATGCATCTGTTGCACACTTTACTCCAAGGCACAGTAGCCTGGGTTGGTAAGGATGCTGGAAGCTGGTTAAATATTGTGTTATTTTAGCCTAATTAAGCGTGGGTTTATTTGTACCTATTCAGTCCAAAGCAGAAGTCATTTATTGAAACAGAAGAGAAACCATACTGAGCAAATATATCTGTTGCTGTCTGAACCTGCACCAGAACATTTAATCTGTGACTTCCAGCCCATTCCCAACTGCTCTAGCAAAGAGCAAAAGAGGACAGTCATTATGGATGAGGTGTTAGATTGGAAACATTTGACAGCTGATTCTTTTCAGGGAACTGGATGCACCAAGCCCTCTACTCATTTCATTAGCTGTAAGAGACAGAAATTGGGGGGACTAGTGGATGCTTTCCCCTCTGTTTAGATAATGATGCCTCTAGGCTTGGGCCATATCCAACTGTAGTTATTCCTATGAATTAGCTGAGTAGGTGTTTTCCCTGGACCTGCCTTACTAATGGTGATAACAGCACTCCATGCTCCTGGAGGAATGATAATGTGAACATTTCATCCACCGGTCTCAAAGCAATTTAAACAGCTTTAAGTAGTGTTCTGAAATAGATGTGCATTATCTGCCCTGTTCTCTTAGCTGGATGAATCAAAATACACAGGTGCTAAAGGATTTGCCATGGTGACACACTGAGTCAGAGGAGATCCTGAAGGATCCAGCTTGCTCCAGCTTGGAGGATTTTTCTCAAGATGGTGAGATTTACATTAGATCCTTTTTCTACTCTGTTCTCAAAGTAACTAGCAAAGAGCAGCTTTCTCTCTGTATTCTTTAAACCAGTCTGGTTTTGCTTCGAAAAGTCATTCAACACGCTGGTCTCTGCAACAATTCGCAGCTGAGGTGGCTGGTTAGTATGATGATCTCACAAACCCTTACAGAAGACAGGAGCTATCTAATGCAGCTTCTTCCATGTGGCTGGAAAACTCTAGATGTGCAGGAGGCAAAATTCAGATGGGCTGTAATATAGCCGGAAAATCTGGCAAGCTTGAACCCAACTCTGTCCAGACAAGACAATATTTGGATCCTGCTCTCACATTATGGAGCAGACAGTTAAATCTGTATGATCAGTCTGCAAATCTCATCACCAGAAGATATTATTGGGATCAAGAGATTAAGGATATAAATAAAAGAGGAAGACTGGATATTTATATGGTTAATGAGAATAACTCAGTTATATTAGTTGGGATTATAATTAAATATATGGCAGAGCTGATAAAAACCTGTGGCTCATCACCAGAGTATTAAGCATATCTCTGATTTTCCTATGAATTGCATGTTACCCACTTTGGGGTTCTCGGTCCTTCCTCAAAATTACCTGGTACTGGTCCCTTTTTTGAGACAAGGCCTTAAACTGAGCAGACACTACTTTTCTCCAGTCTAATGACCCTTGTTTTCCTGAAAAGGAAGAGTACATGACTTCTAATGCTCAACCCTATGGAGCACAGGATCTCACAGTCACTAAGTGAATGAACTTCTCTGAAGCCTCTCCCTCCCATCCACCCCACCAGTTTAAGCTTATCCTCATTTATTGCAGTTTTTGCAACATTTAGACTTAAATGAGTCTGTCTGTGAGTGCTGTAATGCCCACAACTGTAAACAGGACCAGGCCTCTTTCTAGCTCATACAGATGTCCAGCTGCTTTGAAAGCACATTTCAAACCCGAGAACCAAGAGTGGTGCCCTGTTACTCCCTTCATTCATGTGGACAGATCAGCAAATGGAGGGGCTGGAATCCTGTTGGCTTTGGTTTGAGGTAAATTTCAAAAAGACATTTTCAGGATGCTGTGAATAAGCCAGCTGTAAGTGCTTCTTGAGTCATTTCATCTGTCATCTCTGAACACTGGAGATCTAAAATGTTATAAGCCCTTAATCTCATTGTACAGATGTATTTTTCTTTGAAAGCATAACCATATATAGGCACTACTTTAATTGCCCTTTTACTTTGAATAAACCACTGAAGTCCTATTTTCAGAGATCTCTTTTTTACTTTATGTGGGTTTTTTAGGCTAACACTATTTCATCACATATTGATGTATTTTAATCATAGATTAGAAATACAGTTACACAGAAAAATAGCTGTTTCAGTTGGTCTCTTGTCCTCAGCAAAGAAACACAAAGTCCTGGAGCACAACCTGCAGTTCAGAGATTAGCCAGCAGAACTCCATGTTGCCCCTTCAACAACATTTTAGAATGCAGCAAACATTTATCTGTTGTGGTTCATCCCAATTTGTTAAAAAATAATCAAGATCTAACAGGTTCTTGAGCACTGTTATTAACAGTGCTTTCAGATATCTGTATTTATTTTGTTGGACAAACAATTCTATTAATCAGTATAAGCCAATACCCTGACCAAGCTGTCTATCTCCTTTGAGTGCAATAGATAGCAAAGAGAATTGCTAATGATTTTTCCAGCCAAGTTTTCTTTAATGGACTTCAAATCAAATCTGGGGGTTGATTCTACATTGATAGCTTAGAAGAAGTACTAGGAATGTAGGTTCAGATCTCTAGGAACAGTTACAAAGGAGGAAAAAAACATCTGACCACCTCCCAGTTATTTCTGTTTGGCTGGGGGCTCATATGGTGCCTGTCCTATATGGATCCCTGTTATTCATAAGTGGTGTGGAGATTCCCAGCTGCACTAAACAACCAGAGGGCACATTCTCTGCGCGACTCAGAGCCACTTGCAGGCCTGAAACAGCAGATTCCTCCATTAGCTCCAAATCCATTTAGGTGGGCTCTCGCTGACAGGTGGAAGCCCATCAGACATTTCTCTTGTGTCTTTCTTCCTCCAGAAGTGTTATTAGTGCATCACCTTTCCCCTGGCTATACAAAACTCTTAGGGCACCATTTAAGAGCTGGATCACTATCATTTTCACAAACAGTTCCCCTTCACTTTTTGAAATGACAGCGTGCTGCTTCTGGAAATTTAACAAACAATTCTGTGCTTAGAAAAGAGAAACACCAAAGTGCTCTTGTTTAGAAAGCCACAACTTTCATACCAGGTAAAATTCTTTAGATGTGGTGGATGTGAACTGTGATGTAGAGACAAAACAACTACAAACTTGAAGCTGAGCAACATCTAATGAAATTAAATACACCTCTTCCCCTTCTGGCTCTAGCCATCACTAAGTACAACCTCTGGGTGCTATCATTTGGAAGACAGAAAGAAAGGCAGCATAACACTGACTTTGTTCTCTCCACTGTCTCTCAGTAATGTGGATGTTTTCCAGGGGAGAGTTTTAAGGTGCTGATCTGGATACATTTTATAAACGCTGTAAAAACAAGAATGATTACTAGTGGAAGCCTGCATGGATCTCCAGAGACATGGCAAATAAAGTATATACAATTCTTTCAGGAAACCACAAGTTTTGGTTGATAAATATGACATAAATGAAAGAGACTTTTCTGAGCTGTTTGTTTTAATACCACATGACATATTGTGAAGAGTTAATTTTAAAATCAGGTTGAAGAACATACACAGTAATGGATTAAAATCTGATAAATTACTAGACTGAAAAAAGTCCTCAGAGTGAAATCATTCACAAACTTGCTATTCTACCAGGGTCCCAGATGGGGTGGTACTAGCCCAGTATCAACATTTTTCTTAACAAACATTTGTGGATAACCCAGACATTATGAAAATAGTAATTACCAGTGAGGCTAAAGACTCACTATGTATATAGTGATAGTACACTAGGCTGGTGAGCTGGACCCAACAAACAAAATATTTTTTTGTAAGACATTAAGCATTAAAGAGAAAGGAACAAAAGGGCTCTATGTATAGACTGAAAGATTACATCCCAAGACTAGCAACTGTGAAAAGGATGTAGCGGTCACAGCGGCTAGGCAATTCTGCATGATCTCCTATGACAGAAGAGCGCATGAAACTGTCAGGTGTATGAACAGAGGAGGGTGAATAAGAGGTGGAAGACTGTTTTAATCACACTCAGGCATTAGAGAGATTGGCAAGGGAATATAGGTGAAAAATTGGAGTGTGCGGAAAAAAGACACAAAAAATATTCAGGGGCAGTAGAAAAATGACTTGGAGAAAAAAGGCTTGAAGAACTCAGCTTTTTACTTTATCAAAAAGCCTAAGTACTGATTTGACAAGAGCATATAAGTGCCTTTGTAAAAAATAAATATTGCTAACTAAAGGGCTCTTTAATCTAGCAGAAAAGGGCAAAATGAGACCCAGCCACTCAAAACTGAAGCCAGGTCCAGAAAGAAAATAAAGTACATATTGTTAACAGGGAAGGTGATCTGCCATTAGAACAAGCCAGCAAAGCATAGTCAGCCCATTTGCTTCAGGCCTTCAGTTCAAAACTTTCTGTCTTCCTCAAAAAGGTGCAGCAGCCTTTACACAAGTTACTGAGCTCAATTTAGGAATAATCAGGTGAAATTTGTGGCCACAGCTATCCAGAGTGTCAGAAGAAATGACTTAATGGTACCTCCTCACCTCAAATCTGGGACCCAGATTTCTCATCTTCCTTTTCTCTGGCCAACAGGTACTAAAATGTGTAATAACTATCATGCCATAATAATTATACTTCTGTGATATGCATTTTGTTGCTTTTATTCTTGCAATTTTTATTTTCCTTATGGTAAAGCTCTAAGAATTTTAGAAGATATTTTTTAAGCAGCAGCAAGACTCTGATTTAGATATTCAAGAGGAGTAAGAATGAAGGGGAAAAAGGCATTTTAATACACTAAGTGGCTTTGAAAACCTCACCCTAAAATGCATACACTAAATTGGCAAGGAAAATGGACTAGTCATATAACTTACACAAACTACACTGCGAATTAATACAAAAGCCAAAGGTCCTCCTTATTTTTAGCCTCTATCATCACATATCTAAGTGCCTGACAATCCATAACACATTTATCATCAAATCACCTGTGTCAGTAGAAAACTGCCGTTAGTCAAGTTTTGACAAAGCAGAGCTGAGGCAGGCAGAGCTCTGGATCTTGTACCACCACTGTACAGCAGACTCAGAAATATTCACATTAGTGCTGCCCTCACTTGCTGCATTTACCCAGGTGAGAGCAGAGATGCTGGGTCAGAGCTGGACTTAGCTGGAGTAGAGCACTTCACCAGCTGGCTAGGCTAAACTCAGTATTTTTTGAGCTAGCACTATTAATTTCTCTGCAGCGTAACAAACAATGAATGTGTAGACTCGCCCTGAGAGAGACTCAGCCACGGACACACAGGTTAGAGTAGACACAGATTTGGGAAATCTGAGTTTATTTAGCCACAGCAGAATTGTTCTGCCTTTGTTTGTAGCTACCTCTTCTTGTCAGACTCTTAGTCAACACCTCCGTTTGCTATTAATTCTATGTCAAGAAGTGTCTAACAATCTGCTTAATTATTGTTCCTCAGAACTTCACACTTATGGCCACTGTGCCCACCAAAGAGTTTCAAGCTCTGGATCACAATCAGCATAAATTCAGCTGTTCAGAGCATTATCCTCATGAAATTTTTGGCAAACTCTTTGCAGAGTGAGGAGGCAGCAGCAGCAAAGATACTCAGACCATCGCTTTCTTTTAACACTACAGTAAAAAAAGATAAATTGAAATTATCCTAGAATTTGTTCAGTCAAATGTATGGTTTTATCCAGGGGTTGACAATATAATTCTGGGTTATAAATTCAAATTCTTCATGAACAATGGGATAAAACTTAAATCTCACAAACTTTACAGTGGAAAAAAAGAGCAAAATCCTTTCTTTACACAATTTAAAGTACAAAGACTGCAAATTCAAAAATTCCTTGTCTTGGGTTTTGGGAATTTTTCATTTTATCCAACTTCTGTTGGGTTCTTCTTCTAGTGGCTGGCCATTTTTGGTGTTTACTTAACCCAGCCCATTTTGCCTCCATGATGTTTTCCTGCATAACATAGATCCTACACAAAACTCTAAGAGATTTCCTAGGATACTTGTACTCCTGTTCTCCACAGCTACATGAAGCAAATTTTCGCCTACCTGTCAAAATTCAAGCTCGCTTTTTTGTGTACACACAAGTTAATACAGTAAAGGTTTACTATAGAAAATTAATGTGGTCCATGGAATATATTCCTGTGTTTAAAGCCCTGAAGTGGAACTTGGCAGAATTCCATCATTTTGGGCCAGCCACACCATCACTGTCTGCTTGATTGTCCATGTCTAAGCAAGGATCATGCTTATCCTCTCTTATCCTTTGTCCCACTCCTTTGGTTTAGACTGAGAACTCTTTGCAGTGTAGTACTAAGGACAAGCTTTTTTAACAGTACCAACACCACATTTGAAAAATCAAAATATTTCCTGCTTCTAGATAGATGGCTTTGTTTTAGCTTCTCAGAAGAGGGCAAAAAGGACCTGTGTTTGGATCAGAAATGTCTGCAAACTCGGGACTTCTGGGACAGCATGCCTTGGTTCAAGAAATTCTTGCTTTAAACTTCATTTTAGCAGACTGCACCTGCCTCCGAAGGAGCTCTGTGATATTCCACCTGAAGAATCTGCAGTGTGCTAGTAGATTCAATTCTCATGTTCAAGCAAATTATACAAAGATGGACTCCAACTGCAAACAAGCATCGAAGGCCATGTGGCCGAAAGCCAGCGGCTCACTGCTGAGTACCGAGACCAAGCCAACCTGCCCAGCCTTAGACCCCGCTGCAAGATGTTACCCCTGGCTTGCCACCACTCTGCTCCTTGATGTGTCACAAACTGTGTCCTCTCCTTGAAATTTCATGCAGAGCAAGTCTAATAACTTGGACAGGGGGGCTTTGAAATGGCTTGCTCTGTGGTGCTTATACACTTGTGGTGGTAGATAAACTGTTCCAAATTTACAAGCTCAAGCTGGTGTCAGATGCTCCCTGTGTGGATCTCACATGATGCACAGAAATTTAACCATAGCATCATTGTAGCAAAGCAAAACTTACCTCTGTTTTCCCTTTACTTTGACAGGACCTCCTGGTGTCTTCATCTGAACCCCATGCTGTTGCCTGAGAAACCAAAATGCACAAGTCACACAACAATGCCACCAACCACCATGTCTGGAGACTCCCAAAGCAACTCCAGTCAATTTCCACAGCCCAATTTAAAAGCAGCCTTGTGATGGTAAACATGTATCTCACTCCCACTGTGCTCACAGTGCACACAAATGATAAATAGATGAGAAGTCCAGAGGCAGAAGCAACTGGAATGTTAACAGAGGACAGACTTTAATTTACATGTAAATACAACTTCTGATCATCATTCAACTGGAAGGTCCAAGACATAAGCCCCACACGCTGAGCCATCAAGTTCTTTTCAAAGAGGACAGTACTGTATAAAACTGCCAGCTTTCATCACCAAAATGAAAACCTTCCCTACAGCAAAGTCCAGCAGTTCTGCACAGATCTGCTGGTCTCTTTACATTGACCCGTAAGATTATCAGCTTCTAAGGAATTCTGCAGCAAAGTGAGCTGGATAACAACACTGGGAACTAACAGGTGAAACCTGGAGAGATGGGAAGTAGGGAGAAAGGCTGGATGATGATTTGTGATGCCAGACAAGTAGGGTCAGAACCTGAGGTGGAGTAAAACGCATTAGGGCTGAGGGCACTATTGACTGGGGGCCGACAGTACGTGGGATCCGCAGTTGGCTCTGACAGACTCCTTCAGAGCAAAGAGGTCCCTTCTTTCACAAGAAAAAGTCAAGACCAGCAAAACTGCATTGGAGAGAATTTTTAGATTTAAAACATTCAGCAACATACCCAACCATTCAGTGCCCTCTGCAATTTTCCTCCCTTCAGCACTTTTTTTTAAAATAGTCCTAACAAATTCAAGCAGGTATGGTTAGCTGGAGGTAAAAATACATATAAACATCCATACTATACATAATACATCATTCTGAGTACAGAAAAAATAGCTCTGTTACACAGGGAAAGGCCAGGCTCACAAAGTTCAGATACAGATCCAAAGCTCCCCTAAAAGAGCCAGGATTTCTATTTTTTCCCCTAGTCCATTACCAATGCAGGAAATGGCTTCAAAGTTCAGTCCGGATCTGAACTCTTCTTGAACCTTTTCACTGCAGCCAATATATATTTTTTAAACTCTGGGCTTCCATAGAAATTGTCCCCTTGACACATGATAAATCCTGTTTTTTGCAGGAGAAAGACGGGAGACCAGAAAGAAGAGGGGAACAATTTTCCTACTCCCAGTTCAAGTCCACGAAGACACTCACTCAGAACCACAAGAAATGCCACCACCCAGGAAATGCATTTATACACAACACTGGGGGAAGGGATATTTCTATCTCACTCAGAAAAAGTGGTATCTTCTCCATTAGCTGAGCATATAGTTCAATTTGGCTTGAAATAAGACTTTATGAGCACAGGCAAAGATCTGGTGGGAGAAGGGAAAAACAGAGATCTTTCTGTGGGAGTCACTTGGGAAATACCTCCCATGTACTGCAGTCCAATCCAGGCTGAAGGCCAAAAGCTTGGGCCTCAGAAGTGTTTTTGTGAGAGCTGGAATAAGTCCTTGCTGGAAAGGATAATTTAGCCATATCCTGAGAGGGGATATGTTACTGGATGAGAAAGCTCATGTCAATAAGCCATCACAAGAGAGCAAGGAATTTTGACTGGTGACTCCCAGGAGCCCTTGACATCTGCAAAACAACTGCACAGCAACATTTTGATCCCCAGTCCCAAATCTGGCCAATATTCATCTAACCACAGTACCCTTGCACCTTGGATCAATTTTTGACAACCTTAATATAAAAAAAGAAAAAAAAAAATCCGGAAAAGGGACAGCTTATTTGGTGTCTCTTCTTCCCATTTCAAAAACAGAGACAGAGCACTCCCCATTACACAGCCCAGTTTACCTTAACAGTGCTTGATAGGACAAAATGAAAACAAAAATTGTTGGTTACATCAGCAATTGATGCTGCTTCTCTACAAATACTCTGGGTCTTCTGGGATTGCAGCAACACAAGAGAATTCGGTCTCCTAGGGGACACCTAGCTCTTTCTGCCAGACACCTGCACTGCAGAGCTTTGAGGCATGTTGTAAACACAGCTCATGTCAGAGCACTGGTCCCCTCCAGCTATGTTCTTGGTGCCTAAATGTTTTCTTTCATTAGGCAACTTTGTCCTTCAGCATTCTGAAGCATTACCTTGATGAATCTAGTGATAACAGAAGTTCTTGGTGATGGCCCAAATTATAGGAACATGTTGTTTGTGACTGCACCATTAGTCAGGGTGCGCTTCATTAGAGCTAAGAGGATAATTAAGCAATATGGCAATCCGGAGCATGTTTTACAAGTCCCACACATGTCTTTGGTGGGACAAGGAGGAGTTAGTTTGAGGGCTGAGTAACTCCAATGACCACTAGTGACTCAAAGAAAATATTCATGACCCTGCAAAGCAGAGCATCCTGTCAATAATAAAAATACAATTGCAAAGCCAAGGAGCTAATGTGTGTTTAAATAATTGTACTGTAAGGTATGAATATGCACCAGTCAGCTGACCTACAGCCTAGACAAGTCCTTCTGCTGTGCTCCCAGGAGCCAGCACATGTCTGTGGTCATGGCCTTTGGGTTGGACCTGGTAAGACATCCTGAGCAAGCTCAGACCTCTGAGCTTGGAGCTTTCACATGAGCTTTCCAGCATTGTTTAGTTTCTTTACTTGACTGATCAGCTGTCTTTCCAGATCAAAATTTCCCACTCTTGTCATCTTTGTTGTCTTGGGCTTCTCTGCAAACTTGCTGTGTAATGCTGGTGCTGTACTTTCTGCATCTCTACTGGTGTGTCCAACTCAAACTCCTCCCTCTGCCTTAGATTCATTTGGCCCCAGTATCAAACTACATCATGGACATTTGACAGAGAAACTTTCAGAAAGATCTCTCTTCTGGAATACATCTGTGTGCACCCATATGTTGCTCTGCGAAGCAGACATCTACTCAACACTTGTGTAACACTACAGCACTGGAAAGGATGCTTTATACTTTTGCCTCCTTACCTGATCATAACACTTCTCAACAGCCAGCCTCTTGCACACTGATTTAGGTGCCTCCCCTCCCTTTCCTCATCTCCTTAATAAACCAGATTAATACTATTTCTTTTTACTGCTGAAAGCTGCCTCTGCACACTTGGATGAGGTACAAACTATATCCACAATAAATTTTTGGTCACTCAGTTGGGTCATCATCCTGAATTTATGATTCATTTTCTCAGTTGTCTGAGACATTTAAGTTTCTCAGCTCCAGAAAACACATCTGGGATTATTTTTGTATCTTCTGCTACATGGCAGTCAAAAGCAGTAGACACCTCTGGATCCATGTGGCAATAAAACAACTTCCATGGCATGGGTCGTGGAAAACAGCCTGGATGAAGATACGACAAACCTGGGAGCAAGGCTATATACAAACATAGGACAGTATGCACTTTCTCCTAGTCCCTTCCCTACTTGCCATGTGCTTAAGCAACCAAGCAGACACTTTTTTTAGGCTGTCAGGACATCAACAATTCTTCCCCTTGCATCCTTACCAAGAGCACTCTAGCTCCTCATGCTATCTCTTCACAAGCTCTGCAGCATCATTTCCCTCCTGCATTTCCAGAAGAAACGGAGTTTCTAACAGTGTTCTCAGCCACTTTGAGGACCTCCTTTAAAACCACATGGCCCATGTGCAGAATGGGGGAACACCAGATTCATATCCCACATGAATGAAACAGCTAGCTCAGGGCTGCAGCTGCTGTGTAAGACAAGAGCCATGCCAACCATGAGCAGAACTGCCCAGCCACCTGTGCAGACAGCAACTCTGTCCCTGAATTGAAAACACAATTAAATGTGCCTTCCTTCACCATATCTGCACGGACACCTAGTTCTTCACATCTCTATTTCTGTTCTTGAGATTTTCTCAATTGAAAAAAAAAAAAAAGGTGGGTTTGTGTGTTATTTCTACATCTTTAGGAAGTGACATAATAGAGAACTATCACAGGAGAAGCAGCCATGTGGACAACCACAAGTACCTGCTGCAACACTGCCCAACTGAAAATTAACAGAAATAGGCCACAATGGCTAAGCTCAGTGCATATCTGAATATTCAAATGTCACACTCAGACACAGAAAGAGTTAACGTCTCTTCTAATAAATTATAAGCATCACAGTTTGCTCCCAGTTCAGACTGCAGATCAACAGCGCTCTAGACATTCTAGCTCATCATGTACTGTCAAACCAGTTATTCAGCACACACTGCTGTGAGAAGCTTTCATACATTTATTTAATTACCTGCACATCCCAGTGTTGGCATCCAAAGTATCTGCCTGTCACTGGCAAGTCCTGTTATCAATAGTTAGGTGCATTCTCAAATGCTGATCTGAAAATTTCTTCAACTTCTATGGACCAGCTTTTACATTCAGGCCAGCAATTTATAATTACTTCAAACACTACATATTAATTTAACAGGTTAAGTATACACAAATTCCTGCACTGTACTTGCACTACAGAGGTTGCAGGTTTTCGTGCAAAACCAGAACATTGTTTTAAAACTGGAAAGTGAAGACTTGAAAAGAATACGTTACATGCATATTTATCTCGTAAATTAAATCCATTCTTAATTTCTAATGTATTTTATCACAAATCTATCCATCTGTTACCAACCTCACTTCCATTAAATAAGTACTCCGTGAAGCTACTGGCAGCCTTGCATGCCTGCAAACAGACCCAGAATCATGTCGTTCTCCCGTATTAGGTGAAAAAAGGTGTACTACAATGATGGACATTGTGTGTGTTTGGAAGGAGACAAAAAAAACCCCAAAAAACAAGTACAGGTCTACTGTAAAAAATAACAGGGACTGATTCTGTGAGATGCCCAGCACTTCCTAAAAGGTACTGAGTTCCTCAGGTTTCCACTAAGGTCAGAAGAAGCAGCACCTTGTGTCCCAGGCTCCAGTCTCCAGGGATTGCTAATGGCAGAAGGTTCCATTTCCATCAACCCTCTGCAGTGCCCACGGGAGACTT